TATAGTGCTCTGTGGCTACTCCTGGTTCTGTGCTCAGGGATCACTCATGCTGGTGCTGGGTGTAAGGGACATATGTGGTGCAGGGGATTGAAGCAGGATCAGCTGCATAAAAAGCAAGACCCTTTAGGCCTGTACTCTCTCTCCAGCCCCTCGTCCTTAAACAGAATGTGAATTTCTAGTGATAGACTCCTTGCTTTCTCTCCAATAACACTTTCAAAAGAAGAGTTGTAATTTGGGAATCAAAGAAGAGAATGGCAGTTTCAAAGCACATCATATGATTTTCAAAACTGTTTACTTTTGATGAAGAAAATACACTAAGAGAATGAAAATAGGCTTTCTTCCATAGATGGAAGCCTGCCTCATGAGCTGGGGGAGAAGGCAGCTGGAATAGAGAAGGGATCACTAAGTCAGTGATAGTTGGAGGAATTGTTCGGGATGGGAGATGTGTGCTGGAAGTAGATATAGGACCAAAATTGATAGCCTCTCGGTATCTATATTGCAAAGCATAATGCCCCAAAGTAGAGAGAGAAATTTCTGCCATAGAGGAAGGAGGAGGGTTGGGAAGGGCAGAGGGGATACTGGGGAAGAGAGGGCTCTTGAGTGCAGTTGGAGAACCTTGTTCATTGTTCTTTTGACAGAACAGCACTCAATTATTTTCCATTTAAAAACAGAACGAAAATGTTTCACACCTGGCTTTAAGGGAAGGTGGCAGGGGCGGATATATTGTTTCATGAGTATATGTCCCCTTATTGTGATGGCACTTCGTTTTTATGAAATCAACAGAAATACTCTCAATATGGTGCACTGGCCTTTAGTCCATTTAAATGAGCTGTTCATCCATCAGTTTCCTGCTGATGGAGAGAGTGATGGGCACAGAACCCTGTTGGTTTTATGCTAAATGACCTGGGATAGCTGGTGAAATGGGGAGATGACCTGTTGTTTCCTAGGAACAATTGTGGAACATTTTTCTACAGGTGAGACCAGAGAGGACGCGCAGTGGCAGCGTGTGTTTCATGGGTGTGAGGTTCTGGGTTTGAGGCTAACAACAGGACAAGAAGGGAGGGGGGATGTTTTGTTAGTGTTTTGCTATATTTTGCAAAAGTAGAATGATGTCCATACTGAGCATATGAAACCCTTTGAGGATGATTTCAGACTCTTATTTCTCTTTCCCTGTAGAGGTTCTGGGAGCTCTTTCCTGCCCTCCCTGGCTCTCAGAATTGGTCACGTACTGTCTTCTCTTTCTGTTCTCACTGTCACCCTTGGGCATCTATGTCGCTGTGACTGGCCAGGTCAGGCACATGGGATAGCTCTTTCATACCCCCATCCCGTTCCTGAGAACCCAGACCAAGAACTTGCAGTTCCCAGACCCACACTGCTTGTAGAAATCAGCCACTTAGTGGCAGTGGGAAGGAATTTTGGGAAGGAAGGTCTTCGTTTCTCACACTCGCCGTTAGGTACCAGATGGAGTATGGGCTTGGCATTAACAGTGGCTTTATATTTTTTTAAAATTTTTTAATATTTTTATTAGTGAAACACCATGAAGTACAGTTGTAGACTTACAAATTTTTGTGCTTGGGTTTCAATTATACAATGATCAAATACCCATCCCTCCACCAGTGCCCATTTTCCACCACCATGGATCCCAGTATCCCTCCCACCCCCATCCTCCCCATCCCACCCTGCCTCTGTGGCAGGGCATTTCCTTTTGTTTTCTCTCTCCTTTTGGGTGTTGTGGTCTGCAAAAGAGGCATTGAGTGGCAATCATGTTCAGTCTATAGTCTACTTTCAACATGCATCTCCCATCCTGGGAGGATCCTCCAAACACCCTTTATTTGGTGCTCCCTTCTCTATCTGAGCTGAGGGGCTTTATATTTTTAAGGCTGGAGCAATAGCACAGTGGTAGGGTGTTTGCCTTGCACACAGCCAGCCCGGCCAAGCCGAGTTCGATTTCTCCGCCCCTCTCGGAGAGCCTGGCAAACTACCAAGAGTATTTCACCCGCATGACAAAGCCTGGCAAACTACCCGTGATGTATTCAATATGCCAAACACAGTAACAAGTCTCAAAAATGGAGATGTTACTGCGCCCGCTCGAGCAAATCGATGAACAACGGGAGGGCAGTGTTTTTTTGTTTTGTTTGTTATATTTTTAAGAAGATTAAAAAATTATTTTTATGTGATTGAGTTTCAGATTTTTAAAATTTATGTGGACAACAAATGGGGTGGCCTTCCATTGGTTGAGCCAGGACCCAGATAGCTGCTCCAACCTCAGACACTCCCCTCCCAACTACGCTGTCGGGTCTCTGATACCCCCGTGCATAGTCCTTCACTGAACATCTCAGTATAGGAGTGCTTCTTATCTCCTTGTCAGGGATTCTTCACATTATATGTGAGCTATCCACATTTCTCTGAAACATGAAGATGCAGTGGGAGGCGCCTGTGTCAAAGTGCATCCCACCCCCATGTCCCCCACCTACCACCACAGCAACGTCAAAGCATCCAGCATAGGCTTCTGAACTGAAATCTGCAGTGTTTTCCCATGGTGGTAGGAACACATGAACATTATCCTGGATGCCCTTCCATCACTTACTCCCTCAGTCAAATAGGTTTTAAGCAATGACTTTGATATTTGACAACCTTTTAAACATTTTGGTTTTAGGGAAAGGTGTTTCTAAATGTCAAAGATCCAAACTCAGACTCAAATCTTTGAGCATCTGTTGGATGTGTGTCTGCTCCTCTCTCAGTTTCTGGGCTGGGTAATGACAGTTTAAAGGAAAGCATCAGTAATGAAGAATGAAGTTGGAGCCCACACCACCTTCATTCTGCTTTCTTACTTTCCTCTATCCATTTGTAAGATTTACCCATCTGACACACTTTTAACAGAATTATGTGCTTATGTTTGGTTGAATGAGTTGTTTTCTTGGGGGTTTCAACTCATTAAAAAATTCTTTGGAAGCATTATAGAGAGGCTTGGAGTACCACAGAGGCAAAATGTGTAAATTGGGGTAAAATATCACACTCTGGAGTTTTCTGGTGTCAAATTGGCCCTATGTTTGGTCCTAGATCAAAGACCCCTTGAGGCACCGTGTTCATGTTCTCCTCATAAAGAATCAACATTGCCTAACCTTCTCTTAAAAGTCAGGAATTTATCTTTTTGCTAAAGTAAAAATCGTCAGTTTCTTTTGGGACATAGCCACATCATATAATGGGGTTTTCAGTAAGAAACTGCTCTGTAATTAATATGGATTTAGGTAAATCACACTTTAGAGTCTCAGTTTATTTTCCTTTAAAAGGGAAGTGACATAGGGTGGGTTTGCGTCCTAAGTGAGAAAATATAACTCACTATTCAGTATCTAATACATGGACAACATTTACTTATGGTGACTATTGTTGACACACTATTATCAAACTAGGGTCAGCCACATGCAAGACAAGTCCTTTGCCCTTGACTATCTCTCCATCCCTATTTTAAAATATTTTTATATGTAATATGCAATGCATAGTCCATAAAATTCACCTATTTAAATATACAATAATTGTTTGCCCTCACTCAGGCCATCCTTTTCTCATCAGTTAAAACATTACAGCCTTAAAATGCCCCAGGCAGCAGCTCATTCACTTTCCATCTCCACAGATTTTCCTATTTGGAATATTTTAAACATAAATGGAGTTGTATAAAATGTGACCTTTTGTGATTGGTTCCTCTTAATCTAATTCAGGTTGTTCTGTATTATGCATATACTGGTACTTCACTGCTGTTTATTCCATGTATTTGCTAAAATAGATCACATATTCTTTGTCCTATCATTTGTTGGTAAACCTCTTGGTTGTTTTCACTTTTTGGCTATAATGAATAATGCCGCATGTGGTATTATTTTTTGGGGGGGGCATCACACCCAGAGATGCTCGGGGGTTTATCCTGGCACTACACTCAGGAATCACTCCTGGTGGTACTTGGGGTATCAGATGGGATGCCAATAATCAAACCTGGGTCAGCTGCATGCAAGGCAAATGCCCTACCTGCTGTACTATCACTCTGCCCCCAAATAATACCCCCTGTGCACATACATGTGAAATTTTTTTTTGCTTTTTGGGTCACACCCGGTGATGCTCAAGGGTTACTCCTGGCTCATGCACTCAGGAATCACTCCTGGCGGTACTCGGGGGACCATATGGGATGCTGGGAATCGAACCTGTATCGGCCATGTTGGCTGCGTGCAAGGCAAACGCCCTACCCGCTATGTTATCGCTCCAGTCCCACTTGTGCAAATTTTGTATGGCTGTATGTTTACATTTCTCTGGGAATGGAAGTTCTGGATCATATGATAACTATATTTTACAGGATAAGGAGCCATCAACATTTTCCCCCAACTCACGGTACCATTTTAAGTTCCCACCAGCAATAAATGAGGGTTCCAGTTTCTCTTCATCCTCACCAAAACTTGTTATTTCTATAAGTTTGTTTGCATTATAACCATCTTAGTATGTGTGAAGAGGGATCTAAGTGTAGTTTTGATTTGCATTTCCCTAATGACTAATGATCATGAACATTTTTCATATACCTATCAACTGTACATGCTTGCAGAAATATTTTCTTCCAGAGAGATGGTATTGAGCACTTGACTGACCTAAAGCATCCCCATATGTCCAGCCCCTTGTATATCCCCTGAGCACTGCAAAAAATAGCTCCTGAGCACTGTAACATACAACTTTTCTAAAAAAATGTCTAATCAATCTTTTGTGTCCACTTTGTAATTGGATTTACTACCTCTTATTATTGAATTCTAAGAGTTTCCTAGATATTCTAGATTCGAGTCCCTTTTTGGATACATGATTTACAGATATCTTCAACCTATTCTGTGGATTGTCTTAATAAAATTTTCATTAATGGTTATCAATTAACAAGAAAGAAGCAAGTCCAATATGTCCACATATTGGACTTGCTTCTTTCTTGTTAGTACTTTTGTGCCCTTTTAACTGATGTGCACAAACTTTCTTTCCAGCCTTTGTTTCTCTACCTGGCTTTGCAGTCCGTCCATGAGCCCCTTCAGGTCCCTGAGGAATACTTAGAACCCTACGACTTTATCCAAGACAAAAACAGGCATCATTATGCAGGAATGGTGTCCCTTATGGATGAAGCCGTGGGAAATGTCACTGCAGCCTTAAAAAGACATGGACTGTGGAACAACACGGTGTTCATCTTCTCCACAGGTATGCCCGTCAATAGAAAAATCATCTCTTGGCAAAGCCTAGGACTTGGAATTCAATAAATGGAATGAAGATAAATTGGAGCACTTAGCAGTTTCTTATTGAAATAAATGCTAACTGCATGAGGGGAGACATGATAATAATGGATAGAAAAATGTATCTAAGGAAAAAGAATGATGGACCCCCCCCACTTCCTCAGATATCAAAGTACTCCAGGAGTTTGCTTGAAAACAGGGCTCTCTGGGTAAAGAGGAGTGGACATCACTCACAGATAGGGCAGCTGGTGGTGAAACTCTGGGTGACGTATTCTCTGCAATCGCTTAAACCCAGGCTTTCTCTTAAGCCGAAATGCTCTGTCTGGGGGCTCTCTGTCAGTGCAGAGACAGATGGTGACTTGAAGAAAACAGATAAGGAGTGGAGTCATTTAAATCTAGATCTTGGCTTGAGTCTCCATGTGTAGTGCTGTGTGTGTGTGTGTGTGTGTGTGTGTGTGTGTGTATGCGCGCGCACTAAAATTGTCTGACAGTAAATGTCTTTATGTGTTGTTGAGAAAACATAAAAGAGGGGAGAAAATTTTGAAGTTTTTTCCGTTGTGGCAAACAAAATCATTCTGATTCTTCCCCTCCTCCCCTCCCCTCCCCTCCCCTTCCCTCTACTCCTTTCCCCACCTTTTCCTCTCCTCCCCTCCCCTCTCCTTTCCTCCCCTTTCTCCTCCCCTCTTTCACCCTCCCCACACCTCCCTTCCTCCCTTTTCCTCTTATCCTTCCCTTTATTTTGGGGTCACACCAAGCAGTGATGTGCAGGGATTACCCTGGTTTGGCACTTAGGATCACTCTTGGCAGGGCCCTGGAGACCATATGCGATGTTGGGAACCCAATCTGGGTCAGCCATGTGCAAGGGAAACATACTACCCAATGTACTATCTGTCTGGCCCAGATCTGATGGTTCTTATTGGACTGACTGATACAGCAGAACTTTCCCGGTAGTCTAGAATGAGCCTGGCCTAGCGTTTCCCTGAGCAGCCTTGACCATTTGCTTTAGTGCTGTGAAAATACTATATTTTAAAAGGATGAACTGTGGTGGAAAAGGTTGAACCAAAGATAACATTGGTTTTCCAGGCAAAACCTTGACTCTTAGAAAAGGGAAACATCTTGGACTTCACTCCTCACAAGAGCTTGTATATTCAGAAGGTCGTTCTTCGTTTACTTTATTTTGAACAGCCTGCTAAAGCACTTTGATGCGTGCTGGGACTAAGTGCTTGAAATATGATGTTGATATTGATGCCAGCATCAGTGGAGTCGAAGATATTTAATACTGATTTAGTGATTGTGCCTGGGAAATTACCTCACAATTTCACAGCTTTGAAGACCTGAAATTGTGTGGTAGAATACACAGTTTAAGGAAAACTGATTTTATGAAAGAAGAGTATGTGAGTTAATGTATCATATAGACTGAGAAGCACTAAGAAAGCAGTGATGGTGGTCGCTGGAAAAAAACTTAAATATCTCAATGGCTCTGTGACAACAAATATTGACGTCAAATATACATGGGAAGAGGTGGAATCGTTTTTTTTTGGCTTTTTGGGTCACATTTGGCAATGCACAGGGGTTACTCCTGGCTTTGCACTCAGGAATTACTCCTGGAGGTACTCGGGGGACCATATAGGATGCTGGGAATTCAACCTGGGTCAGCCATGTGCAAGGCAAATGCCCTACCCACAGTGCTATCACTCCAGCCCCTGGAATAATTTTTTAGCAACATGTATGATGATTGAAATAAAATTGCCAGGAGGGGGTCTGGGCCACATCCAGAGTTATTCAGGACCTACCTGGACAGACTGGTGGGGAGACTATATAGTGCCATGGAGCAGATTCAGGCCTCCTGCATGTAGAGCTGGTGTTCAGGCAGTTTAACTATCTCTGCAGGGCAAGAGGAAATATTTAAAGATCAATATCTCTTTCATGATATGATTTCAAATGTGCATACGCAACTGTATTTTAAAGAGTTGGCTATTTCAGAAATATCCATAATATTTATTCAAGCTGGCAAAAATAACTTTGGAAACTTCTCACATAGATTATTGTGATAATAAAGATAATAAATAATAAAGATTATTTTATAAAGGTATGTTGGGTCAGAGCGATTGTATAGCCGGTAGGGCACTTGCTGACCTGGATTCAGTTCCCAGTACCACATATGGTACCCTGAGCCACTCTAGGAATGATCCCTGAGCACAGAGCCAGAAGTAAGTCCTGAGCACTGCCAGGCGTAGCCCCCCTCAAACAAACAAACAAACAAACAAAAAAGTATTGTCTGGTATTGTCTATAAAGGTATTCTGACACTGTGACATATGGATAGATTTATTAGTCTTGTACTATGACTACATTATTGGAATAAGTTCAACTCTATCTTATATGTATATTTTTTATTATACTGCTGAATTCACTTTGCTAGGGTTTTAATTAGAATTTTTTACATTAGTCCAGAAATGAAAGAAGAGTTAGTGGTTAATTCTTTCTCTATCAGATTTTGTTGCTTGGTTATGCTATTTCATAAAATAGTTTGTATTTTTTTTCATCTTTTTTTCTATGCTCTGCCTACATTGTATACATATTTCTTGTTAAGTTGGTCCTTAGAACATTAGGGAGACTTTAAAAAAGAATCACATCCATAGTTTAAATTTTTTTAATTGAATTATAACTTGGTGTTGGTTTTAAAATATTTCAAAGTTAAATTTGCCTGAATTATAGTGATGTCTTTGATTAAAAGGTGAGATTATTTTTCACTGCGGGAATTTTTCCTTGTTTGTATTTTAAACAAATTATTTTTGTTATTATTTTTGTTCTGCTAGGTTTTTTTAAAAATAAAATATCTTTAATTAGTATGTTGAATCACTGACGCAGCATTCACTTCTTGTTTTTCAGATTTTTTGGGGTCCTTTTACTAAATCTTTGGAAGCACTCTGCAGTACTAATTAGATATTTTTTCAATTTAACTTCTTCTCTTTAATATCACTAGTGCAATCAGTTGTATTATAGTTTCTTTCCAACCCTTTGTTTGCTTCATTCCATTCCCTCTTCTTCTAAACCTTCTAATAAAATTAATGACTACTTTTTATTAACTCTCTGCTGTATACCAGACAATGTTCTAGATGTTCTCATTTTTTGTCATGTCAGCATTTAAACTCAAACTGATCCATGAAATAGGTTTCTTTATTCTCATTTTATAAATGAAGATGCCTAAAACTTAAAGAAGTAAAGTGATGTGGCCAAGACCACAGCTAGAATCTGAATTGAATGTTGGGAGCCCGGCACTGATGTGATGATCTTAGAAGGTGGGAGATGAGGTTATGTTTAGGTTATGAGGATAGGCCACCAGCCCCGATGAATAAGGTGAGTGCTTTACAAAAGACACTCCAGAGAGATCAGTGAGAGGATGCCAAGTGTGAATTAGGAGATGGTCTACACCAAAAGGTGCCAAACCAGTGTCTTGAGTTTGGATTCTTTCATCCTACAGAATAATGAGAAATGTTCCTCTGTTGTTTATGAGCTCTCTGTGGTGTTCTCTTAGAGCAATTCAAAAGGATAAAGCAAGCTGTCCATCCGCTTAAGGTCAATATCAATTAACTCTAATCTCTTGTATGGATATATCTCAGCTTTTTATTTCATCCTATTTAACCTTATATACCCTTTTCAACTCTGTACAATTCTGTTCCGAGAATCCATGCTTTTCCTGAGCTTTTTGGAATAGGCGTTTTCTGTAGTATTCATTCTCAGAGCAAATCATTTTCAGTGATATGCTTTTGGTCTGGGTCAAAGCCATGAAGAATCTTGGTTCCACTGCCATTATTGTAATGCTGTCACTGGATAAATCCCTTTGAAATCTCTGGCTAGGATTGTGCACACAGCTCAGTTCCTAGCGGCTTTTGGCAGTGAAGCTCAACTCAGTTGAAGTTGCCTAGCCTTCTTGAGAACCCTACTGTATTCTTCCCAGATCTGTGACCTGCTAAAAGAACTCCAGACTAGAAGGGTTGTTTTGACTTTTCCTATCTGCATGCTTAAGAGTGTGGCTTGCGTGGGGACATTTTGCAGGGTATAATAGGCCCCACTCTCAGACCCTTTTCTTTTTCTTGGGGCTACATCTGGTGGTGCTCAAGGCTTTAGGCTCTTAGCTCACTCTTGGTGGTATTTGAGAGGACTACTGTGGTGCTGGAGATAGAACTAGAGTCCTCAGTATATAAGGTATGCAAGGTATGTTTTAACTTCTGTGTTATCTCTCTATCCTTCAGACTCTTTTCTTTACCTGCCCATTTTTTAAAATAAAGAACAAGAACCGCATTCTTTTTTTTTAATTAGTGAACCACCATCAGGTACAGTTATAGACTTACAAATTTTTGTGCTTGGGTTTCCGTTATACAATGATCAAGTACCCATCCCTCCACCAGTGCCCATCCTCCACCACCACGGGTCCCAGCATCCCTCCCACCCCCTGTCCCCCCATCCCACCCTGCCTCTGTGGCAGGGCATTCCCTTTTGTTCTCACTCTCTCCTTTTGGGTCCTGTGGTTTGCAAGAGAGGCATTGAGCGGCAATCATGTTTGGTCTATCGTCTACTTTCAGCATGCTTCTCCCATCCTGGGGGGGGATCCTCCCAACACCCTTTATTTGTTGCTTTTTTCTCTATCTGAGCTTCCTTTTCCCCTAGCATATGTGACTGGCCTCCAAGTCATGGAGCAAAATTCCTGGTACTAATCTCAGCCATTCCTGGGTGTTAGTCTCCCATTTTGTTTCTTTATGTTCCCCAGATGAATGCAATCTTTCTGTGTCTATCCCGTTCTTTCTGACTCATTTCGTTTAACATACTTTCCATGTAGTACCACTTGTATGAAAATTTCATGACTTCATCTTTTCTAACAGCTACATAGTACTCCATTGTGTAAATGTACCAAAGTTTCTTTAACCAGTCATCTAAGAACCACATTCTTAAAAAAGATACACAATTAT